GATGTTCAGCTGGCTGGGTACCGACGACCGCCGGAGGAAGGACCCCGAGGTCTTCCAGACGGTGAGCGAGGGGCTCAAGAAACTCTACAAGAGCAAGCTGCTGCCCCTGGAAGAGCATTACCGCTTCCACGAGTTTCACTCGCCCGCCCTGGAGGATGCCGATTTTGACAACAAGCCCATGGTCTTACTGGTGGGCCAGTACTCCACTGGGAAGACCACTTTCATCAGGTGAGCCAGCCCAGGGCGCCCCCGGCAGCCCCACCCTGCCCCCAGCGCTTATGCCTTCCATTCACTCCTGGTGCCCCCTCCAGGCTTCTCTCCACGACTCTGAAGAAATCTTGCATGACCATGTGTCCAAAGCCTACCCCACCATTTCACTGCTGGTCCCCCACCCCATCCTACCTAATGCCTCTCCACTGTACTTAGAGCCCTGGCTCAAGTGGTCAGTTTGAAATGTTAAAAACCAGAGCCATCTTATTCTTCCCATTTTATGGATGGTGAAAGCAAGGCCCAGGAGGCACGAGTGAGAAATCCCTTATCCCAAGAGTCCCGTGTGGGCATATCTTACACCCTCACTTTTTAGGGACATGCCCTTTATGGCCACTTCCATTGCCCTTGCCTTTTAAAGGCTTCAGCCATTCACGTAGGGGCTTTACAGTTCCAGCTGAAGAGGTGGGCTGGGGACCCTGTGGCTCCCCTGCCTGGTAGCGCCACTTGTCCTTCTATTATTTTCCTTCGCGGAGCAGAGCTCCGACGTCTATCTCTTGGAGACTGGACAGAAGCAGTATATCCAGAAAGAGCATGTTGTTTTCTAAAATCTTTTCCCTTGTTTGGTCTTAATGGCTCTGTAATAATATTAAAATCTTTTAGAGGAGGAAGGGATATTGACGATTGTCTCATCCAGCTTAGCGGGTGAGATAACTGAGACATGGAGAGGTTAGATGCACTGTCCAGAGGCATCTCCCTGTGGGGAGGCCAATGTGGGATGCTGGTCCTGGACCCAGGGAAGGAGATGCTTGGCCAAATGCCTGTGACTTTGAGGGTGAGTCATCCATTCTCTTGAATTACTGAGTCCTTGGGCTGGAGAGATCCATCAGAAGTTAACGTGTCCACCTTGCATTCAGAGAGGTCCGCATATGGGCCACTAGAGGGATGAGAATCCTTCTTATCTTTAGACAACAGGCTTCTCTCCAGTCCTCAGGCCCCACATCCTTCAAGGCCAGCCATTTTCCTTGGCCTCATCTACAGCCCTGGTCAAGCTCTTGGTGCTTATGGTCCTCTATGTTGAGAGGCAGGCTCCTACAGCGTAGCGATGGGTCCTGTGGCCTCCAAAAGTCAACGGTGCTCATCTCTGCCGGGTTTAAAGCGGGGTGCTCTTGTTTCCATTCCTTGACTGAGCACCTGCAACACTCAGCTCTAGTCTTTGATTGGCAAGAAAAGCAGTAACGGAACAGTCTGGTTACTGATTCTCTAGATATAAATGTTCTTTTAACGGTAAACTTTCATAACACATGCTTTCTGCAAGCTGCGCATGCCCCACACTAACATGTTGTGTCTGAATAGACCACCAGATCAAGTTCGCCCTTGGGTAGGCGGATAGCCTTGGGCTCAGCAGCTTGGAGAGACTGAGTGATTTCTAAAGAAGTTTGGTACCAAGGTGGGGGAGGAGGAGAGGTGGATGGGCCGGTTGGCTTTTGGATCTTATATTGTTGGAACTACAAGGACCCTTCCCTATGAATTGAACCCATTGCTTCTTGACTTTTTAAAAGTTAGTTCCTCCTTTGAAAATCTGATGAAAGCTGCACTTATCTTTAGAAAAAAATACACATACATCACAAATGTATATATAATTTTGTGGGCCCGAGGACCACCGTGGACTTCAGGGCGAGGGCTCTGATCTAACCCATCTCCTTTACTTTATTACATACCCATTGCTGCCAAACACACTCTAGAGGTACCTGGGTTCTGTGCACAATTCCTTTGTAACCTGTGTCCTTTCTCTGGCCTGTATTATGCCCCCACGGGAAGTCCTGGCCGTTTACAGATGGCTCCTGCCTTTGCAGAACCTTCTCTGGCCCTCTGGACACACCTTGGTTCTTTAGAGCTTCTCTTTCCCGTAACAGCAGCACACACAACGGTGCCTTAGCTCCTGGGGCCTCGCCTGGGGTCTCAGCCACGGGAGGTTCCCTGTATATGTTTGCAGAATGGGAGGGAAAGTGGGGAAATTTAGAGCTTCTCTTTCCCGTAACAGCAGCACACACAATGGTGCCTTAGCTCCTGGGGCCTCGCCTGGGGTCACAGCCACGGGAGGTTCCCCGTATTTGCAGAATGGGAGGGAAAGTGGGGAACGGCAGGTGTCCCTAGGGTGCTGGATCTCCAAGCATCAGACCGGTTTAAGTGCCTCTGTCTGAGACTCTCTCCTGGTTTCGCCTGAGTCATGCTGGCTGTTAACTGGGTCTAAGAAAGTGGCAGGGTCGAGCTACCATAGATTATTCATTATCTGAGGGAAACAGGAAGGCCGGGAGGGGCAGATCCCTCCGCTTCTTATCCTCCAAGTACAAGAGTTCTCTCTCCTCACTCATGTCAGTAACTGAATTTAGCTCATGCATCAAAAGCCGCCTCCCCTTGGGGGAGAGCGGGCCAGCAGGGCAGGAAGGAGGGCTTACAGCACAGGGACGCCTTCCCAAACCAAATTGCATGTTTTCCTTCCTTGTCATTAAATCCACTGAACAGTTATTTTCTTTAAATTGGAAAATGCAGAGAATGGATGTATGGAAGAAGAAGAAAGCACCCACAATCCCACATCTCCAGGGAAACCATTTTAGATATCATTCACATGTATATAAATATATACATATTTCCAGTATGGTTAGCTATTTTATCACCGGTTAAGATCATTCATAATGTAATTTTGTATGCTGATTTGTTTCGCTTACAGCACGAGCATTTCTCATGTAAGTTTAAAAATCTTTGTAAGCATTCTTTTCGAGAGCCTCATGCTATTTCGCTGTATGTATATGCAATTATTCACGGCTCCAGTCTACTTCTTTTGAATGTCTTAGGATGTTTCTGATTTTTTCTGCTATTTCAGTATCATTCTGAATATCGTTGTGGGTAATATTTTTCCACACACTGACTGTTTTCTCAGAGATTTCCCAGAAGCGAAGTCACTAGGCCAGAGGTTATGCAGCGTTGTTTCTGTTTATTTATTTTATTTACTTATTCTTTTACTTTCAATTTTGCTATTCAGAGTCCTATTGCTGAATTGCTCTCCAAGAGGGTAAGTTGGTATAGCACCCCTCTCCCAGGCTGCACCGGGGTAGGAAGGTGCGCGGGGCGTAGATTCTCAGGGTGCCCTGGCCTCTCCGTCCTCCCCATCCCTGCTTCCTGCCTTGGACACCACGCTTCTCCCCTCCATCCCAGGCTGAGCCTGCGAGGGACCTTTCTCTCCAGAATAGAGACTGGCCTCTTCATTCCCAGCCCCGGGCCTTTGCCGCTGCCGAGTGCCCACCCACTTTCAGTTATATGTACTTGCCGCAGGGTTTATTCCTTTTCTCAGGAAGAACACGCAGAAAAGGGCATTCTTCTAACAACTAATTAATGGGCTATGATCTCTGCCTGAAATAACTTCTCTGGCCTACGGCCCGGCAACCCAGAGTAATAAAATAAACAATAAATTGGCCTGGTGGCTGCTCCCTCCAACACAGGCTGCCTGCTCGGAGTACAGTAGCTCTGTGTCCCTCGGGCCTGGCAGCCTTTCCCTGCCTCTGCTGTTTTTCTCCCTTCGCTCTTCCTTCTCCTGGCAGGCAGCCTCGAATCCCTCCTCCCTTGCCCCATCTGGCCCCCTGGTCACAGAGGTGAATAGCCGGCTGGTCCAAGGGCTGCGGAAAGCCCAGCGCTCTCAGGGGCCATAAGGGAGGCCAAATAGAGGATTGGGGGTCGGGGGTCAGGCCTAGGGCTCCCAGAGCCAAGCTGCCTGTGTCTGCACAGGGAGGTCTGGGCTGATCTCAAGGCTCAGGTGGCCCTTCTACAGCATGACTTGGACTCTGAAGTATGAGCACACAGTGGGAGCTGCTACTAGCTGACCCTTTCAACCTCTCCCACTTCTTCAGGGGGAGGTTTGAATCCTCCTCAAAAGTGACTCAGCCTTTACCTGTGGCTGCTCCATCCCCACTGCCTAGGCCTCACCCCATACATTACAGCATCACCATCCCACCCCCTTCCAGGTAGACCCACTGACCTCTGCCAGGTCTATCCCACCAGGCACAGTCCCTGCAGCACGTCTGTCCTGTCCACCCTGAGCTCAGTGGACATCCTTTTCCTGTCAGGGCTCGGATCTGCTGGGCCCTAAATGAGGCGGGTTCCGCCTGCACCAGGTCCAGTTTAAGATCCGTCTTGGAAGTCAGGTGTGTGGACGGCATCAGAAGGAGCGCTGCCTGGGAGGAGGAGGACCCTGGAGAAGGGGCTCCACCCCGTCAGCATTGGCAATGAGGCCAGACCATGGATAGAACACGGCCTGCTCAGCAGAACCTGGGCTCCAGCGGACACCAACAAGAGGCCTTGTTTGCAAGATCTATCCCTCCTCTTTCCTCACCTCTATCGTGTGAATCGTAACAGCTGCCTCCAAGGGTTACTCGGGTTAGAAGGGGAAAGGACCAATGTAGCTTGTTCCTTTGCAGGCACTCTGCTTGGGGCTTTATCATTCCCTCTCCTCTTTCTGGCAGATTCTCTAACCAGAGGCTTAGAGGCTGGCCCTCAGGAGGTGGGGGAAGCCCTTGTTGGCCCCTCCCACAGCCAGGATGAGGGGGCAGAGGTGGGGGTGTGCAGGAAGAGTTGGAAGAGGGGCCTGAGCTACAGTGCTGGGGAGTGGGCGGGCAAGGGGAGGGGAGCGGGAGGCTTGGCAGTGTGGCCACCTGTCTTTGTGCTGGGGTCACCTCATCCGGTGGCAGAGGCTGCTGTGCCCCAGGGACAGTGGTGGCTGCTCTGCTCTGAGGAGCACAGAGCTGACTCAGACCTCAACTGCACCATCAGGGGTCTCCCCCACCTACTCCCTCATTTTGTGTCTCTGGGGTGCTTTACAGTCTCCCTGAAACCCCTGAGGCTGACAGGGCAAGTATGATTGTTGGGACTCCGTTTAATTTTATTTTTCGTTTTAATTTTTTAAAAAATCTTTAAAATGTTTGAGAGTATTATGGATGTTCCCCCTCTCTCCCCACATTGCCCCCTCC